GTTGCTGCCTCCTGGACAATGTTACGAGCCTCTATCCAAAGTTCTTCAGGCACTCTGTCCACCAAATCTAGTTCCTTAAATCTGTTCTTCACTTCTACTGTGTATTCGTAAGGGATTTGGTTTAGATTATACCTGAGTGGCCCAGTGGTTTTTCCTACTCTCTATAATGAAGCATTTATAAACTCTAAGCATTACCCAATATTACAACTGTTTAAAAAGCATTCCTTTTCTTCTTGCAGGAAAAAACAATATCTACTCATTTCCTTAATACCTTCCACTTATAAAAATTCATCATCAACAAAAGTAACCAATAGAAAAATACAAACTTCCAAAATAGATGCACTAAATACAGCTTTGCCTGTGTGGGAGAAGGTCTCCTTTTTTTGCTGATGAGTTGAACCTGATGTCTGCAAACCATGGGAAGTTTGCATTTCAGTTGTGGCTACAGAGTGTGTAAATGAGACAAACAACCAATTCTAAAAACACATGGGAAATGCTACAAGCTGGTTAAGTTGGTTACATTAATTACTGGCTGGCAATCAGCAACCGTCACCCAGTGTAACTGCTGAGCCATCACTAACAAACCACATTTGGCTCATGAAAGAGATAATTTTAGATAGTCATAGCTATAAAAACAAACATTTAATCTGCACAGGTTCAAAGGTACAGTATGGGAAACTGCCTTAGAATGAATCCATCTAGCCCAGACATTTCTATCCTGAGAGGTACCATCTCTTCAGATTTCTGTGTTATGGTCTTTCCATCTTTGCTCTCTAAGACTTCTAACTGGGGAGCTAAGAAATCGAACCAATGACCTTCCACACAGAGAGATTAAGTCACACCACTGAACTGCACAGAGTCCCCCCTTTTAGTAGAATACTACAATGTATGTAGTCAAGAAGGCTGACCGCCGAAGTATTGATGCCTTTGAATTGTGGTGCTTGAGAGTCCCCTGGACTGCAAGGAGAACAAACCTATCCATTTTGAAGGAAAGCAACCCCGAGTACTGGAAGGACAAATCCTGAAGCTGAGGCTCCAATACTTTGGCCATCTCATGAGAAGCGAAGACTCCCTGAAAAAGACGCTGATGTTGGGCAAGAGTGAAGGCAAGAGGAGAAGGGGACGACAGAGGACGAGATGGTTGGACAGTGTCACTGAAGCTACCAACATGAATTTGACCAAACTCTGGGAGGCAGTGGAAGACAAGAGGGCCTGGTGTGCTGTGGTTCATGAGGTCACGAAGAGTCGGTCATGACTTAATGACTAAACAACAAGAACAATGTATGTAATGAAAATACCTGCAAAGCATCTATTTCTTCCTCCTTCTTGAGATTCTTCTCCAGTAGCTCTGTAGATATACAAACAAACAAACAAAAATTAAAGACAGTGGTAACAATATGCCTTAGGAACCAATGGAAATGATTAGTGATACTACCTGGAATTATTACCAAACAGAACTCAATCAGAAAGGGAGCCTCATAATGTCACACGAAAGCAACTAAATATAAGGCAAGAATTCAGGAATAGCAATATTGCACCAGTACAATATTTATGAAATAGTTTATAGATTAATTACAAACCATATGGGCAATATGCCACTCACTTGTTCTATGCAGGCTCCTCGTGGATAAATAACATTGGGCCTTTCTTTCCCTATTTGGACCATAACTCCCACCAGCCCTAAACAGTCAAAGATTATTGAAGTTGTAGTCCAAAGCACCAGGTTGCCAAGCTGTCATACTATGATATGAAGCCACTGGCCCTGCTGCTTCAAAAGCTAGCACAGTATAGTGCCCAGTCCCCACCTGCAAATATTTCTTCTCCAGATGTGTCAAGCTATCTCAAATTGCTGGGAACTCTGCACAGTTCCTCCTACCTCGAGAAGATTACAATGCAGTTGTATAGCCCTGCATTTGGCAGCAGTGAGTCTCTCTCCGAACCACAGCCCTAGAGAGTTTGCCAGGGTCCCCAATCTAGGCCCCTGGCTCCAACCTGAAATCTCTCACTGCAGTATCTTCTCCCCACCAACACCCTCTCCCCCCAGAAGTGAGGGGCTGGATCATAGCTCATTTCTTTCTCACCTAATTAAGGGAATGCAAAGGAGGAATAGTCCAGTGTGCTCTAAGAGAAGGGTGAGTGTCCAAAGCATTAGCTGAGTGTGCAGTGTTCTCTTTTTGCCGGCCCTGCCCTGGTGATTTCAGAATGTAGGATCCATTGGGGGTTTAGCCAGGGGGAAAGAATCTGTCCCCTTGAATGGAGTCAGCTCCTCATCCCTGCTTTCTGGCCCAAACACAACAAAACTATTCCATTGCAAGAACCCTCTGGTGCTGTTTTCATAATAAAAATGGCAAAACAGGCCGGGCTATTGTGGGGAGGAAGCGGGAGGTGACAAGCTGAAGAAGGAAGATCATAGATGCTACAGAACTATTTGTACAAGAGATGTAAATACTTTGCTGTGGGACAAAAACAAAAATCCAAAGAATTACATTTTCTTCAAAATTACCTGAAATATAGGGAGAAGGCTAAATACAGCTTATAGTAAGCCAAGTTGGGGCAAAGAATGTTTCCATTCATTTACTTGGATTATTTTAATCTACGAATTGCAGAGGCTGTAGGTAAACAAGCACCGGTAGCTAATCATTACAATATTCAAAAGAAAAATGAGAGGAAAAATCCCGAAGTATTCTGATACCTTCAAGACTAACAGAATTATTTCAGTGTAAACTTCTGTAGATCACAATCCACTTCCACCAGAGTTCACACTAAAATAAATCTGTTTGTATCCAAGACACTATAACATTTTTCACATTATTCTGTATTTGCCAGACATGCTAAGTGGACTAACAAGGCTACATTTCTGAATACTGCTAAAATATTAAAATTTACATGACACCTCCACACAAAGGGTTTGTAGGAGCCATGGCATCTTATATTCTTTTATTATTTATTAGTAACGTGTATGTTGTCCCTTTTCTCCAGTAAGCTCCCAGCAGCACACATGGTTCTCTCCCTCCCCTTTTACCTTCACAAGGCCTTCTGTAACACAGGTTAAGCTTAGAGACCAACCAGGAAATTTCTTGGCACATGAATTTGGCATCTGGCCTGCAGTTTCGAGGTTCTGCCCCAACTGTTCCAACATACACATCAGCCTTGTATGCTTGATAGGAAATAATGATTGGCCCAAGATCATCAAGTGAGGTTCACAGACAAACAGGGATTTAATGTTCAGGCTGCCTATTCAGAACCCAGATTTTCCAATGTTCCTGCTCATCTGTAGAGTATACGGAAGAGATAATATTTCTCCTCTTCAGACTAGGTGCTAAAAGCATGAAGAATTGGACAACAGAGGGGGGAAGGGCTAGCCACTTCCCCTCTACTGTGTGCAGAATACAGTTATTAGGGCTTGAATAGGACTTGGGTCCCCAATGTAATATCCTTGGAGGATGAGCAGCTTCAAAATGTAGTAAGAAAGTGCTTCTAGCTGGGAGGAAGAATTACACCTAACTGGCAGTGTATCCATGAACACCTATTTGGGACGTTCACAAAAACACCAGAGCAATCGCCCTAGAGTCTTGACTGTGCAGGATATTAATAGGGACAGTTTGGAATGTTCTCAGCATTCTTCCATGGCAAAAATACCCAGGCGTAAATCAAATATGAAGTGTATGCAAACATTAACACCTGGCCAAATGCAATTTCATCGCTAGGGCAAATGAGGCACATCCAGACATTATAGCAAAATAATGCTAGATAAGATAACCCTTTTGTCTAACCAAGCATGGGTCCTCTTAACTTATAAAAAGAAGAGCTCACACAAAATAGAAGTGCACTGCTTTAAAATTTTACTTTTTGCAATTACAATCCCCAAATCCTTCCCAGACACACTGACAAGGGTAATCAAGTTTGTTCCAAGAGTTGCATTCCAAGCTCTGACTGAGATCTGAGGAGTGTGATCTTTTTTCTGGTTTTGGGGCAACTAACCATTCTGGAGTGCTGCTTATCAATATCCACTAGTAAGGATCCTGCATTCAACAGAAAATACTGGATGACAAAGGCCTATTTTCTCCCATCTTCTCTTAACTCTGCACGAAGTGAACATCACAACTTCCAGAGCAAAAAGTTGGCACTTCCTTTCAATACATGGAATAATGTTATCATTGAAGAAAGAAATTTTCTACTACTTTTCTAGTTACTTACAATCTGTAGCAGCACCACTAAGAATCAACTATCACCAATTAATAAACATAGCTCTTTCTGCACGCCCACAGCAGGCAGAGGTGAATGGAAGCATGGGTCATTCCATTCCCCCAGACCAGATTAAAATTTTGAAAGGTAAAACAAATTGGTAGGAGTTGAAAAGGACAGCCACTGAGCAGAATCTTTAAACATTTGTCAGCACATTCTCCTGTTTTATTATACTAATAAAAAGTAAGCACTCCTCTTACAATCCCCTTCTTAAGCTGAAGCTATTCAAAACAAAATCACATGTGCTTCAGCTGTTCCTTCTTCTTCTTTCAGTTCACCCAAAATCAACAGCAAATTCACCAAGTCTGTATGGAAAATACAGGATCATATTTTAAATCAGCTTGCAATCAACTTAAAAGCAAGGCACTGTCAAAGAGGCTGCTTGTCTGTAACTCCTGTGATGAAGTAAGAAACACTTGGCTTCTATCTTGATCTGCTGCCACCAACTAGTGCGTAACAGGCTAATTCATGAGGTTACCCCACAATGTCTTCAATCTCCTGTTGGTCAGAAATCACTGCAGGAAACTGGTGGGACAGAATTAAAAACAACATTGCAGGAGAATGGATATCCTTTGTGGTCTGACTCAGACACTGAAACAACATGATGGTCAGCAGACAAATTTCCAAATACAAAATCAATGAGGTTTTCACAGCCCATTTTAAGTTCTGATTATGTGGGGAACTACTGTACAGGTCACTGAGAGTGACTCTATTCACCCCCCCTCCCCACTCCAAAAGCTCTGTCTTTCTGCGCCTTCAGTATATGTAGACAAACAGGCTCAGATTAACAGTTTTAGAGAATGGGCTCCTTTATCCTTATGTACTGGATTTGAGGCACAGATAGGAACAGTATGTGCTTTCAGAAAATGGGTTGTTCATTAATATGCCTGTAACTTTGATCTGAACTGACAAAGAAGCAGTTCAATTTGGTATCCATAAACCTCTGTGCTGAGGTGGCGAAAAAGGGTGCCAATTGAGATAGCAAACTTTGTGATGTGGAACAGCTGCTCACTGGGACCTGAATGGAAAATACCTCTTCTATTTAGGAAGGGATGCTGAACTAGCATTTCCTAGTAACAGACCCAGAATGCATTTGAAATTCTCCCAAATTCTGCAGATAGGTTCCTATACTCTTGCAGCCGTTAATCTGGAGCATACATTTTGAACAAACCTCTTTGTACTGAATGAATTTGAAATGTTTTTCATTATGCTGCACAGCTAAAGTGTTCGTGTGCTGCCGACAGGATAACATAAATATGTATATGCTGAAATAATACTCTTGCAAAGACAATATGTCAGAAATTCAACCACCAAGGTACAGATATTCTGTGTAAACTCTCCTTCTAAAAATAAATTTAGGGATGTTAGATTAGCCACTTCATTACTTAGTTTCTGCCAGGTGGCAAACAATTCAGTTTTACTCAGCCTTCCTCGGGTTTAAGAACTGATAGCTGGTTTCTTTCTTTTGGAATGATGGTGCTCTAATTTTGTTATCTGTCTTAGCTCCCATTGTTCTAATAATCATTCTGCATAACTAAAGGGCCTCATGGCCAAAAGGTGGTTTAATTTCAGTATATAAATCCATAATGAAATAACAGATTTTGGCTCTTTTTGCACAGCACAGCCCATTTATATCAGTGAAATTCCAGGAACATAAAGGAAGTCTGACCATGCAAAACAGCATATAGTCCTTTTCATAAACAGACCTTCACAAATAGTAATGTCTATGGTGTTCCTGGAAGAGAGGAGTGGGGAAGCTGTTGGTAACTGTCAAGAATTTACGAAATTTGATACGGTTGTATTACAAAAGGAAAGCACAAGCAAAAATAAGGAAATGAAAGAGACAGTTAATAAATAACATTTATAAGACATTATTGGAAACAGACAATCAGGAGGACTTACTTAAAACATTATGGGAATATGATCTGGGGGAAGAAATAAGTACCAGTGTTTGGGAAAACATATGGAATATTAGAAGACTAAAATCTATATCAGTAAGGATAAAAGAAAAAATTCTAAGATAATTTGAAGCTATTTATTACTTATTTATTTATTTAAAAGATTTTAATCCAGCCTTTTTCTCTAAAGGGACCAAGGGCGGCA